GGGGGCGGGGCTCCGGCCGCCCCGCGCGGACCTCCGCGCCGCCGTGCGGACGCTGCCGCGCTGACCCGGACGCGCGCTGTCCTGGCCGAGTTCCCCGCGGTGGTTACGGTGACTGAACACGACGCAACGACACGAGAGGCGAGCGCACACCTCCTTAGACACGGAAGGATGGTCCGGCGCTGCTCATAAAAGATGCGCAAAGTCAGACCTTGGCGGCCTGAGTGTCCGCCCCCAGCTGTGCGGACCGCAGCCCTCTCCGTCCGCACTGCCGACGTCCGCTTTCCGGGGAACCTAGGCCCTTACTGCGTTAACAACAAAGCAGAACGAAGGCTGATCGCTGACCGGCCTCGCGGTCTCTGAGGACAGTTGGGCTGCAGAGGGTGAAAGTACCTCCCAGACGGCGGACTGGTGAAAAGACACTTACACCGCGGCGGTTCGGCTTGTGGGTGACTTGCCAGCAACCGCCATCCAAAATCCTCCACTGAACCCTTAGTGAAAAGACATCTTTTGCCGATAGGGCTCTATTTGGTGTTTTGTAACTATCCAAGGACCCTGACTCCCATTTCAGTCTGACAGGCCGATCTGCCAGGCTGAGTTACGCAGGCAGAGGCTGGGAGGCACCGGCCGGCGCCCACTGCCACTGCGCCGGGCACCCCTCACGTGCGGGCCGTCGCCTTCTAGAAACATTCCTCCCGAAGCGCAGTAACGGCATATAAAGGCCCAGCCCGCCCCAGTGAGCTGGGCTGAACATGAATTCTGAGCGTAATTTTGTGTGCTGTAGTTTTAACGCAGTTTCCCCGTCCCTCTGGGTCTCCTGTGATAATTCGCCAATGGTGCTGTTGTCACCTGCGTTTTCATAAAGCACAGTTCTGGTTGTATCACTCTCTTCCTCTAAAACCTGGGCAGAAAGGCATCTGGCAGACACGGTTCCTACCCTCCCTTTTCTGCCCCTCGCCTGGTGCCAGTCAAGCCAGACGGAAGCATCGTTTGTGTCACTTGGTCACCGTGGATGAGACGGGATGGTCCTCCCTCTGCACACTGTCCTGCTGCTTGGGCTCTACCTCGCGAACCTCTGCCTACTGAATCCTACGTCTGCTCAAAAGCTGCCTCCTCCGTGAAGCCTCCCAGGACTCCCTCCTCCACACTGCCCCTGCACGCACGTCTGCACGGCACACAGGGCAGGCCGCCTGGCACCGCCCGCGGGTACCTGTTATGTGAGTCACGTGGCAGCAGAGAACAGTCTTGTTCCCTTCCCGCCGTGTAACCAGCGAGCCCTCCACACGCAGCAGGCATGTGTATCCACTGAAGCTTGGCTGCACTGACCTGTGGCCGAGGGGCCAGGACAGGACCCTAGTTAGATGCTTCGCCAAGATTACTTTCTTACCCTAAAGCAGAACTGTTTCTTCACATGAGACATTTCTAGAAACAGAATATAAAAAAACCAAGAGAGGGAAGAAATCTGAAGTGGAGCTCAGAGGGCCTACAGCCCCTGTGCGGCTCACCTGCCACCTGAGCCACCCTTTCTTTTGGGCCCCTGGCCTGTTCCAGTTTCGCTTCATGACAAAGTCTGATTCGGTGAGAGGGTCTGACAGACTGTGAGGGCAGCGACAACTACGTTTATGAGTGTGGGCGTGCTGGCTTGTTCTGGGCGCTTCCCGTGAACCCATCACGTCCTCACAAGCCCCAGGGGGTAGATACTATGAGCAGCTCCAGCTCACAGGCAGGAAGACTGAAGCACCAGAACTGAGCCATTGGCCACACCTGCTGAGTGTGTGGAGCAGGCTCCATGGATGCGGCGGGACCAGTAATAGAACAACGGGGGCCAGTCAGTTAACAGGGACAGGAGACCAGTCCTCTCTGGCTTTTCTCTGAGCCCAGCGCACCCGTGGGCCCCCTGACCCTGGAGAGCTGGGGGCAAGGCCTCCTCCCCCGACTACTCTGTCCTCCCCTAGACCTCCTACTCACTAAACAGCAGCACCTCCGTGCCAAGTTCTTCCTTTGGATTCTTAGGACTCAGCCCTTTCCCTGCACCCACACCCTGCCTTCCGCTGAGGGCCACGCTTCAGGGTCAGGTCAGAGTGTCCTGCTTCCAGGGGGAGGGCACAGCTCAGCGGCTCGGCGGCACAGCGCCTGCTTACCAGGCAGGAGGCGCTGGCTTCAGCGCCTAGTACCTCCTTTAGGAACAATGAAAACACGCAAACAGGATTATGCTTCCCTTTTCGTGTCTCTAGGAAAGGGGAGACTGCTTTGGGAGCATGAAAGGTTATCAAGGGAGACTTTGGTCCCATGACCAGTCTGGTGGCACAGAAGAACCTCTGGTCTCTCTTCATGATGTGAAAAAGAGCATACAGTCCCATTGCCAAAGTAGGAAGGTTTTGTTTTTAGGACTGTAAGAACGTTTTTAGTAAAGTGCAGAAGGTTCTAGAAAGCTGCAAGTCCAACCAGTTAGTTATTTATATCATAAAATGGTGGAAGAGAAATATGCTATAATTTGGTACCTATGGCCTATTCGTTCCTACCTTTCTTTAAATCAACACAAAAGGTGAAACTGGAGATACTTAAGGAGGACCTGTGGCTTGAATTCACTGGAAAAGAATCATTTGCTAAATGTAAAGGCAAAAAAAAGCAGACAAGAAAATTACTTTATTGCGTGTTACAAGATTACTGAATTCTTATAGGCAGCTTTCTAGGGGTTTTGAAATGTTTTGCCCCAGTTTCTCTTTCAGCGCTCCCCTCACTTCCCACGTTTGTATCTGTGTATTTATTTGTGTTGATCTGCTCAGTAGGTGTCTGTCCCTTCCGACTGTCCAGGTGACATTTTGAAAGTTCGCTACTTTGCACCTAGTCTCAAAATAGTGTGTCTTGGCGAAGACGTGAAACAACGAAGAAGCTCACACACGACTGGTGGGAGTGTCGGTGACAGCAGCTCTCCTTTTTACCTAATAATGTTAAAGTGTGCATCATGGGCAGCGGCTCCACCTCGATTATCCGCCCCAGAGGAATCTTAGAAGATATATTTAGCCACTGCATACGTCTTAGCAGAGTCATGGCAGAGCGGTTTCTTTCTTAGCCCTGGGGAGCTGGTACGACGAATCTTTCATCCCGTCTTCGCAGAAATAACGCCCAACACTCGAGGGTCACACCGACACACGACAGAGCAGGAAACCCTGGCCTGTCGTGCGCTGAACCGCTGTCCTAGGAATGAAACTGTCAGGGAGCAGACGGAACTTGGATCTCAGGTACGTGCACACAAGCACAGAACGAAGCCTGGATCTGGAAGGCAGCTCTCTGTTGATATCATGGGGTCTAACTATTATGTAACCAGCGGAGTCCGGCGTGAGGAAGGGGTTTAACTCTCACCACTGGCGCCTGTACTCATCTACGGCAGGCTGTGCCTTCTCCCTTTTTTGAAAGCTTTCTTTGATGTGAAATCACCAAAGGGCACCCTCCTTACTCCCTGAATCCTGTTTTAAAGGCTTTAATTACACGTCCTGATATGTGAACATGTCCTCGCCGTTTACTGGGAGGAGGGGAGAGCTTGTGTACCGTTCGGTTTACTGCGGCAGTTTTCTTTGAGTGAAGACTCCTGCTGGAAGGGAGGCCACCCAGGGCCAGGGCCCGGAGCTCCGTTCTGTGAAGGCTGCGTGGGGGTCCGCCCACCGCGCGGACAGACACGCTGTGTCTCCCAGACGTCACACAGTGGACGCTGGCGTTGTTTCCGCTTTCTGGCTGTTTTGAATAACGCTGCTGTGAACACGTACTGCGTCTTTATCTGAGCTTTGTAGAGAGATTAATCCGTTTACATGAGGATGGCGGACTGGAAACAGCAGACAGAGCAGGGAGAGAACACGCATGACCTAAAAGTCCGTTGGTTTCAGAGGCTTTTTGAACACCTGCTGTGTGCGGGGCTGTGCTCCAGGCACAGCGGTGGACACTGATGCCCCGTGACCATCCAGCCGTGGAACAGTCACCCGCCTGGAACGGCCTGATGAGACTCAGCTACTCATCAGCAGCTGTCTGACGAGACGCCACCGTGTCAGGCGCTTCCTGGAGGAGAGCAGCTCTGGGTCCGAGGGAACTAACAGCTATAACGTTACCTGCCAGTTTCCATAAAGATGATTGTTCAGCGAGATTAAAACATACGGGAATTCTATTTTGAATCAGCATTTTTGTTTTTCCTTTTCTCCCCTTTACTCTCTTAAGCTGATTTTAAAAAGGAAAGTGAGACTCTGCGAAATCTGAAATCGTGCGGTTCTCATGCTGGATGGCCTCCGCAGCATTGTCTTGAAGTTTCGGGGGGTAGATTATGTTTTCAGTTAGTTCTCTTGGGTACACACCGAGGGACCGCCGTGTCACACGGCAATCCTAGGTTTAACTTTTCCAGGAACCACCAGGCTGTTTTCCAAAGGGGCTGCACCATTTCACATTCCCACCAGAAATGTATGAGCGCTCCAGTTTCACCTTGCCCACGCCAGCATCTGTTTATACCTGACCTTTTGAGTCTAGCCATCCTGGTGGGTGTGAAGTGGTACCTCTTCAGGGTTTTGGTTTGCGTTTCCCTAACAGCTGACGATGCCGAACATCTTTTCAGGCTTATTGGTAACTTTCTTATCTTACTGGGGAAATGTCTCTTCTGATCCTTTGCTCATCTGAAAACTGGATTATTTATCTTTTTATTATTGCTTTGTAAGAGTTCTTTATATACTCTGGATACAAGTGACTTATCAGATACATGATTTACAAACATCCTCCCTCTTCTGTGATTTATCCTGACGTGTCCTGACCCTTGAGGAGTTCTGTGCAGAACCAAGCTGTCCTGCCTGTCACTTGCAAACCGGGTTCATGAGACGAATTGGACAGAAATGGAAAGTTGAAGAGAGTGACTTCAGAATCTGAGAAAATGGGTGGCCTTGTGAAAATTCACTTTTTATAAGCTTGGAGCCACTGTCATCTTCAAAATCTACTATGTGGCAGTGCCTGGCACACATCTGAAGCTCACATAATGTTTGTTAAACTTTTCTTTTCAATTTTAACTTATTTATTATTATTTTTTTAAAATGGAAGTATAGTTGATTTACAATGCTGTGCCAGTTTCTGGTGACAGCATAGTGACTCAGCTACATATATATATTCCTTTTCATATTCTTTTTCATCATTGGCTATTATAAGGCACTGAATACAGTTCCCTGTGCTGTACAGTGGGACCATGCTGTTCGTCTGTTTTATACACAGTAGTTAGTAGCTGCAAATCTTGAACTCCCAGTTTATGTGGACTGTCCTGACAGCGCAGGTTCAAGGACTGGGGAGCCGTGAGACTCAGACCGGGGTGAGAGGAAGGACATGGCCCCCACGCTTCTGCCGGCAGCGGAGGGCAGCTGTGGGGCGTTCTGGGAGTCTCTTCGCCTTTGCCCTGCTCTTCTCTTTTCCGGCATGTTCTCTCTGTCAGGGAGTGTCTTCTATACCCGTTATGTAAACAGAGGTACCCTGACGGTGAAGATCGCAGAGACACGTGTGTGCAGCAGCAGAACCCACCCTCTGAGCTACAGTTTCAAGTCAGATTAAGCCAAGTCTGATTGTACCATCCTGCGCTAAAGATCCAATTTTCTCCGACTTCCCTTCTCCCAAAATAGCTGTTTCCATGACTACAGAATCACGCATTATTAGGCCTTAGAGGAAGTGCATTTGGGGGATAACGCAGCTAGGGCTGTTCTCAATTTTCACAGTGGGAACGGGTGGGGGGATCTCTGTATGAAATAGTCTCTGGTCATGTGCTCAGCTTGCTTGATGCCTCAGAGACACTCATTTTTACCAAAAGCACAACACATAAAGCTCACAATAGTGACCGTTCCCATGCTCCTCCAGCCAGCTCGGCGGTGGCACTGGACCGGGTGGTGCCCACGCCCTCCCCGCAGCCCCTGCTCAGGCTGGATGGGGACCAGGCTGCCTGGCTGTTAGCAAACCCATCCGCCCCGTTTCCCTGGGTCTGGCCTGCGGATTACGGAGCAGCCGGCTGGGCAGCGACAGGGGTGAGAGGTGGTAGCGCCTGGCGGCAGGAACAGGAGGGCTGGTGCCTCTGACTCAAGAGTGGCTTCGGAGACTCCGGCTCTGAAAAATCCCTTTTTTAAAAAAAATTTATCTTTAAAAATTTTTTTAAAGTGGCAGTTTCTATTTGTTTATCTATTTGTTTTAATGGCGGCACTGGGGACGGAACCCAGGACCTTGTGTCTGCTAAGCACGCGCTCCACCCCAGAGCGACACCCGCCCCCCGAACGCTGCTCTGGTTAATTAGACCCTTCTTAGTAAAAGGTGTCTTTAGGGGAGGATCGCCGAGGCGCTCGGTGGTCATCGGGGTGTGTGGGGTAGGTCGGGGCGCGTCTCGGCCACAGCTCCCCGGGGCCTGCGGGCTGAGGGGCTGTGGCCAGTCCTGGGCCGTGGAGAGGAGGAGGGGAGGTCGAGTCCTCCCAAGACCACCTGGGCCCAGAGGGCCTCTTGCCCCCTCCGCAGGGCTCCCTCCCCACACACTGCTCCTGACACCGCCTCCTGGGGCTGAGCGTCCGGGCTCGGCGCCCTCTCCTCCCGCCTGCTGTGTTCACACATCTCAAGGCTCCATCCCATCACTGGGCGGGTACCATCCACACCTGTCTCGCCACTGTGTCTGAGCTCCCGGCTCCCACATCCAACTGCTTGACCCCCCTCAGCGACCCTTGTCAGCTCAACTCGGCTTTTCCGCACCAGAGCTTGGTCTCTTCCTCTGTCCTCCCATCAACACCGTCTCCTGGGTTCCGGCCTCACTCGACAGCACCGTGACGTACCCCCTCGTCACCCTTGACCCCTCTCCTCCACCTCCCTCACCCCACCTACCACCCGTGTCCCTGTGTCCCCACAGCTCACCTCCACGGCCGCCACTGCACCCATGGGTCCTGCCACCTCCACTCACCCTCCATGCAGAGCCACAGTGACCCTGGCAACTCCCTCTTCCAGCCCACAACCACAGGCTGCCTTTGGAGGAAAAGCCAGGTTCCCCGGTGGCGCTTCAGCCACTGACCTCTCCCACCTGTCAGTGCTGGGGACACGCCCGGTACCCCTACCCCATTCTACTCGGGTCCTTGCCTGTCACAGGCAACGGAGCTTGAGCCCCCCTAATGAGCAAGGGCCGGGGGTCACCAGGGCCCCCACCTGCAGTCAGCACTGCGGCGCAGTGTCAGCCCCCAGCACTGCAGACCTGGCTCCCAGCGTCATGAAGCCCAGGTCTGACGCGTGCGGACCCTCTTCCACAAGTGGGACCGTTTGGGGTTTACAGACATCAAATGTAAAATAGCTTATTTCTTGCTGCCTGAAGAGTCACGTACGACGTGGACTTAACTATGGCTTTTGCTGCCAGTAGAGCAAACACACGGAGAACTCCCCACGAACATTTCTCTGGGGACCGCTGCTCTCTCACAGTGGTGAGATGGAATCCAAGACGGCAAGAGGAAACAGGAAAGCGGGTGTTTCACAGAAAACCTGCACAGCCTAGGCACCACAGTCCTGTCCTTACTTCTCGTCTCTCAGGTTTTCATCAGACGCTTGCTATTATGTTAATGTAGCACATGGATGTATGTGGTGTGTGCAAGTACTGCAACGTGCTAGTATACGCTGAGGCTCTAGGCCGCTTTGTGTGTGGGATGATCTCATTGCTTCAAACAAGAGCTTGGCTTGACTGGAGATGTTGATATTATTTTAAATTGTAACTTGAAAGCCCCTGCTTGCAAATTAAAGTATAATAACGAACACCTAAGTTCACTGCAATTTACAAATACTCCTGGAACTCTGTAGAAGGCAAAACATGAACAGGCCTGCAAACAGAGACCCGGGTGCAACGGGCACAGCCGTTTCCGGGTCCTCCCCGAGAAGGACCGCTGCTGGGCTCTCGGCTCCCCACTACAAGACACGTCTCACTCTGAAAGTTATTTCTCTCGGGAGCCGCTCACTGTTTGTTCCCCGCACCCAGGAAACTGCGGGAATCCGGGGGGGTGGCACAGGCGGGGCACAGCCCCCGCTGGGGTCGGGGGCAGACTCACTATTGAGCGCAGTCGATGAGCTGGTACTCGTTGGACCTCTCAAAGCACGCCTTCACGCCTTCGTCATCCCACAGTTTCTTCACGTGATCGAAGAATTCCTGAAATGCGAAAAAGTGACAACTAAGAACACACGTGTGTTTCCATCTCCTGAAAGTTAAATGTACAAGGAAGCTGCCAAAAATCTGTAGGGAACGTGTGAACTCGTTGGAGTCGGTGGAGGTCGCCCTCACACACAGTGCCAGGCCTGCGTCTCATCGCTCGACCGACTGCTCCAACCCTCTCGTCATGCCAGGAAGTTCTCCAGAATGAAATGACAGCTCACAAGTGAATGACAGCCGTCAACTGTAAACACAAGTAGGGATCTAGACTTCTCGGCGCTCAGCAACTCGACTGGCAGAACGGACGCCTCAGCCGTGAACACACGCTTGTTACACGCTCAGTTCCGTCTCAGTCACTGTCTTTTACATTTTCTAGGTGAGCCGTGATTATGAGTAGACATGCTGATAAATTTGGCCCAGAAGTGTTAAGAACACAAGAAAGAAACCTTTAAAACGACACTCGTTAGGGACAGTGATTTGCTGCGAAGAGTTTAGAAACTAGGCACGAGCCAGGATTTTGGTTCGCACACGGTGCTCAGCTCCATCCAGTGCGGCCCCAGCAGCCTCTGAAATGGGAACTCGCCCATCTCTGTAAAGGTGGCCTGATGAAGGCACACTCCCAAAATTACCCAAATCAACGTCACAGTGCTGTGGCAGCAGATGACTCTACCTTAGCGGCTAAACAGAGAAGAAGTGACGTACATTTTCACAAAGCGCTTTGTCAGAGGACGTACACCCCTTCCCACCCCGGGAAGCACCCGCTTCCATCCCTGGTCTGTGCGGAGGGGTCTGGGGCGCCCCCTCCGGGAAGCAGCCGATGCCCCCTCCCAAGAATCAGAGGAGACTTTGCCGGGAAAGAAACTGGAGTTGGCGCTTTTCTTAGAGACTCACGATTCCTTCTAAGGGTGGACCCAAGTACTGTGGGGCCTGATGCTTGTATAATTGGGGGGCTTCTCTGAAAAAAGTAAAACAGAACTGTGAGTACCGATGCGGTGTTCTCAGACCTTCGTGGGGAATTCCCGGGACGTGGCTGCGCTTGCTTGCTTTTCATTCGGGAAAACGTGACACTTGCAGGAGCGGAGGGGTAACTGCCCCTGTCTGGGACTCATGGGGTGGCTTCCACGTTTAGCAAGGCAGGGCCGTTTCTTTCTTTTGACCATTTTCTTTTGACTGAACCTCACGCCCTTGTCTCTCGCCTTCGTTATTTCACAGCAGCTGACACCACACTGTTTTATTTCAACATGTTTCTAAACGATATAGGCTTTTTAAATATCACAGCCACCATATCACTGTCTCAAACAAAGATACACACACAAGTAAAGAAGTGATCGGGTGAAATCTTAACTGCCCGGTCAGCCAGGACAGCTTCTCCAGCTGGAGCTCAGCACTCGGCCCGAGCCTGGCTGGAATTTGCATACGCTTGCTAAAAGAACTGGGAAATAAATACGAGGAACAATTTTAGTCTGCCTCCATTAGCGACGGAGATGGATAACACTAAATAAAAATAATTTCAGTGTTGTGTGCGTGCGTGCGTGCGTCTGAAAGGAAAGGGTTAGTCCCAGTGAAGGTTCTGACATCCGAGACTGCCGCGACGTGGAGGGCGTACAAAGAAAAGTCCTCAGTGACGTCTCGCAAGCTCCCCTGCACCGCTGAGAAGGGGGTCACCCTGGGATCGCCATACATTTCAGCCACTGCGATTCATGGACATGAATGTTACTCTTACGCAAGGAGTCTGCGTCATGTTGCAGAAAGTAAAAATTGTAATGACACCAGACCAAACCTACCTTCGAAAAGCAAGGCTCTACATTTTTACAGCATATTTTTGATTTTTAAATCAAAATTTAAACTAAAATTTAAAAAATTAAATACTAGCTTGTCCTTTTTATATTAAAGCACCTTCCGTCTGGTTCTGTTGTTCACACCTTCCTGCAGATGTGAAGTGCTCAGAGCCAGCCTGGAGTTCTCGGGAGACACAGTGTTTTGTTTTGTTTTGTTCTTGCTTTTAAATTCCTTACAGCTGCTTTAGAATGGAAATAAAGACATGACAGTAAGAACCGTAAAAAAACTCCTGCATGATTTCTGTGCGAATAGAATACAATAAAACAACTCTGGCTATACTGACACTTAGGATCAATTTTTAATTTTTTTTTAAAGCCTCCCCAGCTTGAGGTCACAGCCTGAGTTGAATCCCACAAAGGACTGCTTTTTTTCAATTTTATTTAACTTAATTTATTTCTTTGGCGGGGAGGCAATTCAGCTTATTTATTTATTTTTAAACGTCGGTGCCGGGGACTGAACCCAGGACCTCGTGCAGGCTAGGCACACACTCCAGCCCTGAGCTCTACCCTCCCTTCCATTCTTCCTTTCTGAAATAAAATCAAAAGCATAATATTTCTCAGCCCACGAAATGGATGCTGTCCAGTGGTTTGCACGGCACCCAGGTCTCAGGTGGAGCCGCCTGCCCACGAGCTGCCCTGTCCTGAGGCTGCTGGAAACCGTCACTGAGTTGAGCGAAAAAATGGTATTCCCTATGCTCCATATTCTTCCTAGGATGACTTCTGGAAAACACTCCTGTTTAACTTTAGTATCGGGAAGGTGTTTTGCATTTCTCAAGCAACTGCTTTTTAAGTTTTATTTTGAATTTTTCATCCTGTGGGCCCTGTGACGTCTTTTCCACTTACGTCATTGAGCTGACTGCACGGGACCCTGGAAGTCTGGTTTGGGGGTGGGTTCTACGCTCTGGGTACTGACCTCAGTTCTGCTCCCACATAACTTACTTTCCTGCCCCAGCCTCGTTCTGCTGTGCTTTCAGTGTTTTTATTAACTTGCGTTACAACTTTGTGAGTGGCACTAGGAACCAGTTGAAGCAAAAGTAAATATTAGCGGTAACTTCCTGAACAAGGGCCACCACCCTCATCCAGTGGGCTTAGAAATAAACAGGCGGTTTCGGTTACGTGAGTAGCCACTTAGATGGAATTTTCTGAAGCTCAGGTTTCGGTCTGACCCATTAAAAACGCACCTACGGAATTTAATCCCTCAGAGAGCAGAAGGCTCTCGGAGGTTTCCGCCATTCCTTTTTATCTGGTGGATATCAAGGGGAAAGTCTGTGCGGGATCTAGTTAGCACTAGGATTTTGTTGTTCATAATCTCTGTCCATCCTCAGGTCTAATGTAAATACGGTGTGCTGAAAACTCTAGTTAGGGACAGCTTTCAGAACCTGCGCCAAAAAACCCAAACGAACTACAGTCATCAGGAGTCTTTCCAGGCGCGAAGCACGGCTCCGGGGGCGACAACCACAGCAAGTAACCACACCTGGCCTCTCCTGAGGGCCCCAAGTGTCCCAGGCAATGTCCTGAGGGTGTCCCAGCCAAGGTCCCATCAGACTCTGATACCCAGCCCCGCAGGTGATTTAGCCCCCGTGTTACAAACGGCAAGATGAGAAGGACCCCGCATCCTTTATGGCTGCTCGCGCTCTCTGGACCAGGAAGCAATCACCCTGGACTCACACGCAGGCTCCGGGTGGGGCCGGCCTCCTCCTCCCCTACCGAGGGGAGTTCCCTGCGGCTGGAGGCCAGAGGGGCCCAACGAAGCCTACAGCACACACCAGCCTTGTCTATTTCCCCTCTCAGGACTGCCCACTTTCCTCTTAGAATCGTTTCCGACAGCTTTTTGGGGTGTATTTCATGTGCCAGAAAATTCACCCATTTATTTATCCAGCCACGCACCCACCAACACAGCCAAGTGGTGGAACACCTCCCCCCTCGGCCCCTCCCCCGCCTCGGGCAGCTGTCAGTCCACTTCGCTAGGTCTCTAGAGTTTTGCCTTTCCTAGAAATTGCACATGAATGAAGTCATGCAGCGCTTTGTGTCTGGCTGCTTTCACTTATGTGGTATTTCTGACACTCGCCCATTTCGTTCTGTGGATTAGCAGCTTCTGAAAACAACTGCTGAGTTCTACTCCGTAGTGTGGACAGAGCACCTTTTGTGCACTCATTCGCCAGTGGGTGGCTGTGTGGGTTACTTCTGGTTTGGGGCCGTTACGAATGACGCTGCTGGGAATATCTGCTTGCCAGGCTTTGTATGGACTTTGGTTTTCATCTCTTTTGGGTCAATACCCAGGAGTGGAATTGCTGGGTTACAAGCAGGTGCATGTTTAACTTTAAAAAGCTACTAAATTGTTTTCCAAAGTGGCCATTCCATTCCCATCATCAACAGCGATGTCTAGGGGTTCTTGTTCCTCCAAACCTCACCAATACTTGGTTTTGTCAGTCCTTTAATTTTAATGGCTCTCACGGGTGTACAGTGGCATCCAGCTGAAATTTTAGCTTGCATTTCCCCGCTGGCCAGCAATGTCGCACATCTATTCATGTGACTGTGGACTGCTTGCATGTCTTCTTTTGGAAATGTCTGTTCAAGTATTTTTCCCATGAAACACCGGGTTGTATGTCTTCTTAAGTTTTAATTTTTAAGAGTCAGAGATTTTAAAAGATTGTGTGGATTCAAACCTCTGTCAGTTACAGGTTTTGCAAATACTTTCTCCCAAAATGTGGCTTTATTTTAATCTTCCCAAGCCTGTTTTGATGAGCAAAGCTATTAATTTTGATGACGTGCACTTAAGCAATTTTTCCTTTTCACTTTTATGCTTTTTTGTGTTCTAAGGAATCTCTGCCTAACCCAAAGCGAAAAGTTCTTCCTTCAAGTTTTCTAAAAGTTCTACATTTTTAGCTGTTACCTTTAGGTCTGTGATCCATCCGCGTTAATTCTGGGGTCTACGAGAGGGAAGGGCCAGCTTTCACTTTCTTCCACATGGATATCCGGCCTCCCCGCCACACGTACTGAGAAGACCACCCTCTCGCCACTGACTGCCTCAGTGCCTTGGCTGAAGCTGACCACATACACGTGGGTCTGCTCCTGGACGTGACTCTGTTCACTGCCCTGCATGTCCATCCTTGTGCCAACTCCATCTGTCCTGATTCCTGCAGCTCTGGAGTCAGTCTTAAA